AGATGTATTGATTGACAAAGAGACGGATAGTCTTATTATTTGTGATCGATTGAATCGACGAGTCGTACGATGGTCTCGTCGTAGTGGTACAACTCAAGGAGAAATCCTCATCGATAACATCCATTGTTATGGATTGGCCATGGATGATCAGAGATATTTCTACATCTCTGACTGCACGAAATATGAAGTAAGACGATATCAAATAGGAGACAAGAATGGAACTCTTGTAGCTGGTGGTAATGGCCAAGGTGCTGGTCTCAATCAACTCGACGTTCCGACCTACATCTTTGTCGATCAACAACAGACTGTCTACGTGTCAGACCAGCACAATCATCGTGTAATGAAATGGAATAAAGGTGCAAAAGAAGGAATTGTCGTCGCTGGAGGTCAAGACAGACGGAATGCTCTGGCACAATTGTCGAATCCTGGTGGACTGTTCGTCGATACATTGGGTACCATCTATGTGGCAGACTCGGGTAATAATCGAGTGATGCGTTGGCCTAAAGGAGCGAAACAGGGCACTGTCATTGTGGGTGGATATGGCCAGTTGAGTTTTCCTTTGGGTTTGTCCTTCGATCGACATGGTAATCTCTATGTCGTCGATGAAGATAATCATCGTGTTCAACGCTTTTCAATCGAATAGACTCGTCGTGATAGATTTTTTTTGCGTTCCTTTCGTTTCAAATAAATCGCATTGGATTGATGAAATGAATGGCTTATTCTATTCGCGCGCGCGACCAGGAACCATCCTGGTGGAGCCGTGGCGAGCGTAACGCTCATGCACGCACAGGACAGACTCATATCATTCATACCCTCCCCGCGAGAGATATGTCAATGAGTCTGAATAAGCCTGGTCGTGTGCCACGGACACCAAGACGATTCCTGGACGGGCTTTTAGGGACTGCCCGGAAGGCCTGTAACTAACGAGGACCTAACCCCAATGAACATGACTCACCCACTCTCTACTAACACTCACTTTTCTTAGTCTCATCCTAACCCCTCAATCTCACTACCTATTCTCATCTCAAAAAAAAAAAATTACTTACTGTGCCTGATGTTGATGACGCGATGATATTGATAGCTGAAAGGGACAGAAAAAAAAATTTAACCAATGTTATTTAATGAAATAGAATGAGATGACTTACCATAATGTTATCTTTTTCTTCATTCTTTATTCCCTAAAATAAATAAAAATAATAATAAAAAGATCAAAGGAGGCCTTACCGTACCATCCTTATGATCGTAAAATAAAAAAAAAGGAAAAAAAAACTAATACCTACATTTTATTTTATTATCTAGTTTGTTGTTGAATTGTTTCATATTGTTTGGTTGAAGCCAATCTAAAACAGAAAAGAAAAATTATTATTATTTGATTGAAAAATTTGAATGATTTTACATCGAAAAATCATTCGTATATATACCTTGAAAAATCATTTCTTTCTCTCGTCGAAAATGATATACACATTTAATTGTACATGCTGATCATTGATCGTCAATGATAACAACATGAACAATGAGTTATGGACGAGAGAAAGACAAAAAAGAAAAAGAAAACTCCTCTCTTCACATATATTTCTTTTTTCTTTCCTTTCTCTCTTGTTAACATTAACATATATAATGATTTATTTATGAATTTTTTTAGATTGTATCTCATTTGGAATGAAAATGAAATTGTTTTGTTTACTTTTATTAATGATAATCAATAACAACATTTATGTATAATTATTTTATTTATTATGATAAAATACAAAATATATTACATCAGACAAACTATTACTTAAGCAGAACATACTTAATGTTAAAACAGTTGATTCAATTTCATGGACTGTCGAAAAAAACAAAACAATGGAGGTTTTTAAACACTTAAAATTTTAAAATAATATTCTTTTTGGATGCACATATCTAAATATCAACAAAATTTCAGATCAAAATAATCCATTACAGAAGTTTGAAAGAATCTTTTTTTGCTAGGTGAATTTATTACAACAGAAAAGAATGAAATAAGATATATTCTTCTTTTGAATAAAAATTTATTTATATCGACATCAAGATCAACAATTTGTTATTCATGTACAAGTATGTATTAATCAATAAAGAAAAACGATTAAAAAATGTATATATAATAATGTTTTTAGTGATTTGGAGAATTTTATGTTTAATGAATAATGTTGATAAATCCATGTGTACAATTAATTTAACTAATAATTAAACAAGTAACGCTCGTCTGCAGACTCGCTCAGCTCTTTCTCGTAGAAGGACTGTTTTTAGATGTTAGTTTTTTAATACATTATTGCGTATATAAGTTTATTTCTAATCTAAATTAGATACTTTTACATGAACAACAGCAGGTATTTATACGAAATGTTGGATAGAGGATTAGATATTTCAAATAAGTATCAATACAGATTGGAAGATTCATATAATTTCATCAAACAAAAAAGACAATAAGAAAAGAAACCAAGAAATGACACCATTGGAAATATCTGATACAACGAAAGCAAAGTGACAACTACAATCATTAACATAAATGTAAATAAAGAAAATGAACATAGATGAATAATTATTTTTCGACAATTTCAAATTATGATACGTCTTATATACTTGCTATAACACTAGACTCATAGCAAGATACCTATTTATACACGTTCAAAAAGTGAAAGGAGCACATTCTCGCTTTGTCTTTTTGTCAAGTTCATTTAGACGTTTCAGCTCAGCATCCTGAGCAGGAGAAGGCCGAACTTGTAGAACCTTCATGTCGAAAGGTCGAAGAATTGCTATATCCTCCGCTCTTTTCACTCTACTGAGTGGTACATATATTGATGCCACTTGCAATATCCCAAGTGGATCTTGTAGATCAACCACAATTTTGTTCATTGTGAGTCCTTGCGCCTTATAAGTAGTTATTGCGAAAGCAGGTACAATTGGCAGTTGCGTTCTTGTAACTTGAATCACTTGTGGAACTTTCTTTCCACCTTGCATACGTTTGAATAGCCGACCGAAAAGTTGCTTGATGGAAATAGTAAATTGCTTTTTGATTAGTGGAATAGGGATTAGTTTAGGATGAAGACCATCGAGACTTGTTTCTACTTGTGATGTGTTGATTTCCACGAGAGCGTATAACAGTTTTCTTATGTAGATCGTATTTGAAGGAAATACTTCGCTCCTTACCTTCAAACTATCCGGCTCCTCGTGATCATCGTATATGAGCTCTCGAAAGATTCCTTGAGTGCCGTTCGAGAGCCCTAGTTCACAGGCGATGTTATCAGTGAGAAGCACAGGCATGTTTGGTACGAAAGGTAGGAGATCCGGGAGAAGCTCGGCCTTGTTGTCAGGAAGATGGTATTTCTTTTAGTTTTCGTTTAAGAAAAGTACCACTCATGAGCGGACCCCCGTACCTGTTTTCTGTGGACGAACTATTTTTGTACAGTCAGAAAATTGTTTAGAATACGTGTTATTCATCCTTAGCTCATACATACCCAAGCACCCCAAGTGATTGAATGATTCTAATGAACCTTGGAACAGAATTATACTGTTTTAATTAAATTTCATCAAGTTTTACCAATAGTATTAAAATAGATAATTGGTATGTAGGTACTTAATATTTATTTAATGAAAAGTGATCTCCAATTGAATCCCCCACCTTCGATTACTTTTGATCACATTTTACACGGAAAATATCTTTTATTAAAAAGCTGGTCCTTTGTGTAAAAAAAAATTATTGGCAAAAAAAATTTCAAAAAACTAACCTCAGATTCGGATTCCTCGACCTCGATTACCTTTCGGTCAACCCTTATAAAAAAGATTTTTTTTCGTAAAAAAGTGATCCTTTGTGTAAAAAAATGATTCACAAAAAAATTTCAGAAAACTAACCTCAGATTCGAATTCTGCGACCCCGATTACTCTTCAGTCAACCCTTATAAATAAGATTTTTTTTCGTAAAAAAGTGATCCTTTGTGTAAAAAAATGATTCACAAAAAAAAAATTTCAAAAAACTGATCTCAGATTCGAGTTCGTCGACCTCGATTACCTCGAGTTGAGTTTTATTTGAAAGAACCCTTTTTGTGTCGAGATCGTTATTCGACCAATCAGTGAAGTGCGGACACACAAGCAAGCAAGCAATCAACCAGACAATTTATGTTTGCAAGACTCTTCTCTACGAGAAAGAGAACAACAACATCGTCAAATTTCTTCATTATTATTATTTTCATCATCAACATATGATTAATAACCCATTACTTGATTTATTATTGAATACAACTATTAAAACGAAAATATGAATTAATACTATACCAAATTCGGAAACATTTTAATATTAATAAAAATGAGTATGTATTAGATGACAATATTATTATAAAGAACAAAATATTAACATATATAATTAGTATTTAATTGGAATGGAATATAAGAGAAATCGAATGAAAATTAATATTAATTTTACAATATTATTAAATATTATTCAAGTAAGATAATTATTCAATGAAATATATTTTACTAGTTAAAAAGAAAATTATAGCGTCTGTTGAGTTACTTGTGAAAATATTCTGTTGTTAATAGACTTGAACAATGTTATTATCGGAAAAGCTAAATTTACAAAAAAAATATATATATATATATTATAAAATGATCCAATCTCACAAGTTCGATATTTTTTCTAAAGCTTTACTGATCATATACTTAAGAAAAAAAGTATGTATACTTTTTCTACAAACATTGTTTGATTGTTCAATACGATAGCAAAGTCTGAATATGAACTCACTTCTCAATAATCAAACAATAGTTTTGAAAAAGAAAGCATAAATTTTTTCCTACTTGTTGTTTATCAGTCGAATAAAACCATTAGAAAAAATTATCGAGTGTAACGAGATTTGATACCTTTGACGTATTTCAGTTTTCGTAGACTATAATGAAATTCTTCGCGTACTAAATTGTCGGACACTGTTCTTCATTTTCGAACGAACTATTTTTTTCTAATAGATTTTAGAAAACTTTATGCTAAAACAATGGAAGTGATTCATACATTAGATTTAAAAAAAATGAATACTCGTTGTTATACTTATCATAAGGTAATTTTATTTCATTGAATAGATAATGTAACAAAATAAAAACTATTTTCAAATAGATTCGTAAACATAAAACTCAATTAGGTAAACAATATTTTGTTGCATTATCATGATATGATCTATTCAACGTTTACTTAAATCTATATCAACAGCATATATTGATTATCAATTATTAATTAATTCAGTGGATTAACCGTATTGATAATTGTCGAGTAAGAAAACGATTCCGACAGTATTAAGTATATTGTTGTTAAATTTTAGTCAGAATTCCTTGATGCATATCGTGATTATATAGAAAAATTTTAATTTATTGAACTTTCACAAGAATTAACAATAATACGAACACATTTAATTCATTATTCTTTTCTTCGATTGTCTTGAACATATGTGGAAAATATTCGGTATAAAAACATATTATACTTATTCAATTAAGGAATATTCAAAGTTTATTTGATATTAATCCATTATCATTAACAATTGATGATACTATTATTGATTGTTCTTTTTTGTGGAACTCACATCTTTTTTGAAGAAAAATAGAGTGAATGTAAGTTTTAAAGATATGTGAGACGAAAACTTAGAAGTTTGTCAGATTCGTATTCATAATATTCTCATTAGAATTTATTTAACATTTTCTCACGGCATCTTGTTGGTGATCATTTATGAATGTGGTCATTATAGACTTTCACTTTAATAGTAGCAACTATGAGAAAAACCGGTGGTTCCAACTGCAGCTGAAAGTTATAGTTAAATATTCTACGACTTTAAGCGTATAAATAAAAAAAAATACTGAAGACGTTTTTAGATATGATAAGAATCAATTCTGGAATCGTTTTCTCTATACCAGTACTCACATCCTTTTCAAGAATCGCGAAGGAAACTCATCCATAAGAAGTTAAGAGATTCAAAAATGAAAACATATGAAAATCATAGTAACTTTAAAAGCAAAATTGACTAAATTTCGATTTCTCTTAATCCCTCACAGTCTGGTAGAAATTTTTCATTTCAAGTATGTTGTATGAGTATAATGAGACTAAAGAATACATGTAAGTTTTACATTATAATCTTCAATGAGTTGCATTGACACAATCTCTATTTTTTATTTAAATAAAAATTTTTCTAATTAAAGAAACTGAACAATTTGGAATAATTTGTTCAATTTATGGTCATACATGTATCTTCATCGTTATCATTATGATTTCAACATCATGAAAATAATAAAACCGATGAATTTTATCAGTTAACTAAAGCAATTTTCGGTTGATCAATATTTAATTGATAAAGTAACTTAAAAAAAACTGTAATATTCAATTTTTATTTTAGTCTTCACTTATTATATGTTTAAATTTTAGTGGTCTTCATAAAGCAAAGAAACGAGTAAGTGGAACTTTTTTTATTTTATTTAGAATCTAATAAACATTTAACAAAAAAAAAAATTAATTGTTCAATTCATTTATTAGAACAGGAATGGTCGAATAGTTTCGATTTAAGTAAACAAATGAATGTATGATCAAAAGACAAGTAAGTATTTCAAATGAGAATTTTTCATAATTAAACTACAAATATTCAGAAAATGTTGACTCATTTAACAACTGAAACGAATCGAAAATGCGTGTGCTCATAAAGTTCTGATCTACTAGTGAAACTCGTCGTGATATCTCATTTACTTTCAAGTCAAAAGTTTCAAACACATTATTTATTCTCTCTTGTTGTCTATCTATTGATATTGATTACATTTTGAATAATTAATATTTTAAGTTTGTTTTATAAAAACTTATGAAATAGTTCAGTGACTGAATATTCTGATTGGTGTTTTTATTTTCGTTGTTTTGACTGTAGTGATATATTAAATCATGAGAAAAAATAAACTAAATAAGAATTATTGTTAGGTTTAATAAGCGTAGCTACAAGGAAAATAAAAGTGACTTCTACTAAATTACTTTTAAAGTAATTCAATAACTAACTGTATTGAAGCTCAAATACAAATTTCATAGATGAACAATTCAATAATCATCTCTAAAGTTATCAAGATAACATAGGATACAAAAGCTTTGACACTAGTTATTCCTTTATGTAGTGGTGAATTAAGCTTGCATTAATTGATGTTTGCACTAAACAAAATCAATATTTTCATCATTCATAACTTGTTTAAATTGATGATGCAATAGATTTTCAGTCTTTTTTCTGCTATGTAAATATATAATTAGATAAGAAATTCTGTAGAACTAACTTCATGCTATAAAGTTAGGTTTTGAGTTGAAAAAGAAAAGAATGAGCCGAATAAAATTTTTGTATCGATTTCAGTTTGAAGTTGTTTCAAACATCTACATCTATTATGGAATGTTTAAATTAGAAATAACTCATGAACAAATATTTTCGAAATTTATTGTTTCCCTAATAAATATCTAAAACAGGAAGGAATATTTTATTATAACTCTTTACAGTAGAAGTCATGCTGAAATAAATACCTGTATCAGAAAAATTAGTATAAAGTACCTGTAAGAATCTTTCATTTTTCTTCAATGCCATTTGTATGCCAAAGGAGGGGGGACGGTTTGCACGTAAAACGGCCCTAAATAAAAATCATCTCAGAGCACTTTATAAAATTGAATTTCATCTTCCTCTAAGTAAGAATAAAGCATCTGGACCTCTTTCAGGCCATGTTTCAAGACCTCTTCTCGACATTTCTACCTAGGACAGAAGCTTTATCAATATCGGAATCCGCT